CTAATAAGACTATTGAAAATAACCTTGCTTTTTTTTTCTTTATTTTAAAAGTTAATTTAGTAAGTTATGCTACCTCTATATCATTCAATGTTTTATTTTGTGGAAAGATGAAAACTTATGCAATTCCTGAGTGTTAGAAACTCCTTGCACTTATTTAAAATTTGGGAGAGAACATTTAAGCCACTCAGGTATGCAATTTTTCAGACTACTGAAATCCCTCTAGCCGAGATGTTTTAACGTTCTATTTTGGGAGCTTTGGGTGCTGAAGGGCCAAACGTTTTCTGGGCATTTTTTGGCCAATTTTAAATGTTCTACCATTAATTAGACATTCACCAGATGTTTACAGATTTTCTTTAGGGAAGTACAACAATAATATAAACTGTTTTAAGTCGTGTTCATACTACATTTATTAGGCATTTAAGTCATGTTCTTAAACATTTATTGGGTACACTCAGTAAGTGTTCCATGTATCAGCAGGTTTCTTGAGTCAAATGGTCCATCCGTTACCAGCATGTTTTAAGCACCTACTATGTGTAGAATGCGGAACTAGGTACTTCCTGCGTTGGTTAAGGACCCGGGGCGCATTCACTCTTTGTTTGTCACTCAAATGGCTCACTTTGTCATAGTCACAGTTGACATGAAATGGAAGATATCCACCATGCCAAAAACGCTCATGCTTTTAGTGCCAGGAAAAATTTGCTGGCATACCCCGTGTTCTTTGATCCTGTTGTATGCATTCTCCTAGGTAGAGCTTTTGTCTTCAGTTGTGTGTGTGAGGATCTTTTGCTTTTTCAATACTAGGGACCGATATCACTGTTGATGCTAGTGCAGAGAAACCCTCCCCATCTTGAAGTGCATAATTCAGTCCTCTGTCAATGCCTTGATGTTTTCCGAGCAGAATGTACGAGGTGTGCCATCTCAAATCTGCTGCTACCCTGTACCTTTGATAGAAGTCATTTCCCTTCACTTGTGGCCTAGCTGACATCTGATGAGTATTGTCAGTGTGCGAAAGTCTTTACCCCAGAATGTTTTACTTAGAGCACATTGAGTTGGAAAATGTTAGGAACACAGTCTCTTTGTGGATGGATGTTGTTAACGGTGATTGTTGTTGCCCAGAGCCATGGGTTTTTAAACCCCAAATTATCCACATGGTGTGTCTTACTAATTCTTGGAACTCCTTAGAGTAAGTTTTTGTGATAAAGGACTGTGAAATCACAAGAATGAGGCACTGTGGGTGCGCGAGTTAGATTCTGTCAGTATTAAGATTCTGTACAGGATTTTTTTTTTCTTTTTAAAAAGTATCCTAACATGCCTGTTAATCAGTTGCCACTGATACAGAAGAAATATATTTGTGTTTTGTACTAAAACACAAATGCAAGAGTGCGATTCTTGAAATTTAGATGTTAGGGGTTCTTTTGTTAAAGAAAAACAAACTGACCCAAACCATTAACTCTTACTGGGATTCTTATGCATAGAAACTGACGTACAAATATGAAATAAACAGTGCCAATATTCATGATAAAGCAGGAAACTATAACATTTGGTTTTATTTATTCTTATTCTGTTCAGCAATTTTTAAAGGCATACTACTGTTTTTTTCTTAGGTTTTTGTTTCTTAGCAGTTTTTCAAAGTTGCCATTTAATTATTAAGTTGCCATTTATTTCAGATGGAAATAGGATTTAAAGTTCTTGCATGAAAAATACGTAATTTGAATATTTTCCTTTTTTTATTTTTAAACAAATGGAAGTAAATTTTGCTTGTTCTGGTAAATCTTAATTTTTCAGGCTTCCCGAATACCTTAATTGTAACTGTCAGTGTTGCACTGGTCAATATGTGGAAACATACTGTTCTACCCTGCTACTTACATTTATTTGAAAGTGAACTTGCAGTGATGAGGAATTTATGAAAAATATATTGTATTTCTTTTGATGTTATAAAAAGTAGCACATGTACAACTGATTTATGAAAACATGCTACATGTCCAGAAATAAAGACCAAAATGACATTTTGAGAATTTTCTGAGTTTGTCTTGTTTGATGAAAAGAATATTATTTACTAGTTGAGCATACTTCTGCCTCGCCAGCTTTTTTTTTTTTCCAGTGCAATTTGATGTTTTGCTTGGTCTGTTAGTAAAACAGGAAATATCCTTCAGTTGATGAATTACTCTGTCATCTTTTCTTTCTAGAATATTCTTTTACTCATGGAATAACAAGTTCAATTGTGCCTTTGTTTCCTGATCCAAACAAGCCCTCATTTTTCATTACACTAGAGTTACCACGTGAGACAAATGAATACGTCTGTAAACTATCGTGTATGTGAGCTGTGTAATTATACGTTATATCTTGTGAGCTATTTTAAGAGAAATTTGAGTTTTGACTTCATTTACGGAAGCCCAGTATATGATCGGGCCATTCAGGATGGCTGTTCTCTTGCTCTCTGTACATCCCCTACCTGACCAGTCCCCTGCTTCACCTACACCCTACTCACAAGACTGACCTTCCTACATACTTGCCCCAGGCCCCAGCTAGTGATCTTTCTAATCTTTAGATCAGAACATCTCTACCATGATAGCTTTTCAAAGGGGCTCCACCATGATAGCTTATCAAAGGTGCGGTGAGGGGCATGCCCCTCTACTGGTTTCCTTGGTAACTGATGAGCCAACCTGACGTCAATTCCCCCTATAACTAGTCATCTCCCCCTCTCCCTAGTAGCAGAGTCGGCTGCCATGTCCTGCCATCCTGCTACCTGCTGTCTGCCACACGCAGTGGGCTGTCGCTCCAGGACCTTGCTTCAGATGTGTAAGATCCCCCATCCATGAAACTTGACGTTTCTTTTGCTGATTCTGGGCTCCTTCTTCAGGCTTGAGGCCGGGCAAGTACAGGGCTTGCAGACCTGCAGGGTGCCGCCCAGCACCTGGCTTCTCCCATTCGCTTTGTTGGAAGCAGTGGAGAGCGGTCACCTACATTGATAGGTTCTGATTTATCTTAGACCGAAACTGATTTCTGGCTAAGTCAGGGTATCTAGTGTTTACTTCTGTGAAGTATTCTTAAAGACCTCTTTATCCTCTGTGTTCCCCAAAGAATCTGACTAGATGTTAAACTGATCATCCTGTGGCTGTATTTTTTTTAAAACGGAATTCTGAAAATTAAAGTCCTGTACAGATTTTGATTTGTATTCAGCAGTACTTTGGGGAGTTAATTTTCCTTTATCCTTTGTATTTGGCTGGCTTAGTAATTCTCAGCTGGGTGTGGCAGTGGTGATTTTTGCCCCCAAGGGGACGCCTGGTATCTCCTGGAGACATTTCTGGTTGTTACAACTGGATGGGAGTCGGGCATTGGCATCAAGTGGGTAGAGGTCAGTGATGCTGCTAACCATCCGACAATGCTTTTGGACAGCACCTCCCAACCCCCGCTACAACAAAGAATTATCTGGCCCCAAATTTTAATAGTGCGAAGGCTGAGAAACCCTGGTGCTTCATATCCATAAAAGATCCCATGAATTAACTCATTTCAGTAGCCTGTTAGGCTCATCTCGAATGTAATGCTCAAATACAGTAAAGATGATGTCTCAGAAAGAGTAGACATCCATTGGAACCTTAAAAAAGTTGAACTTCTCATGGCATGTAAAACAAAAAGTAGAGCCATATTTTAAATGAAGATGAAGGCCAACATAAGACTGAATAATCCTATATACATTACCGTGCTGATATGAATAAATGGTCACCTTCTTAGAGAACAGTTGGAGAAAGAGACATGAAAAGAATTAAATACTTGTGTTCATCCATGTATTTTCATACACTGGCAGCCTACCAGGTAATCTAAGCTTGGTAAAGTTAACCTTATATGTGAATATCTGTTCTTGACAATGGAAACAGCACAAGACAGTGATATACTGAAATGGATATGTTGTATATTATGACTCAAGGCCGTGTTCTCATGCCTTACCCTTTTAACAGTATAAGGAGACAGTTCTTACATAGATTGTAATTCTGATTTGCCTGAGTGCTAGGAGAAACTCATTTTTGCATTAAGCGTTTATTAAGTAAGATTTATTTAGTCATCTATAATTTTATTCTGGCTTATCTTTCCCTATCTGTTGTAGAAATTTAGAAAATCTAATCTAGCTAAGTATGAAAGAGGACACCTAGATTTTTCCTTCTCTGTTTTTCCCAGGTGAGGAAAATTCAAAATAAATCAACTTGTATTGGCCAGCAGATGCATGTTGAAGAGTTAGGGTTACAAGAGAATATTGTTCAGCGAGGGAAGGTATTGATCCATAGAATTTTGGGGTACTTCATCCAGAACCTAGGGCATCTTCATCCATTCCATTATTAAGTCCTCCATGATCAAGTGTAGCCCACATTTTCCAGAAGGAGGCACCACCTTTACTGGCATGATGGGAAGTGAAAGATCAGGAGTGTTGCTGGGGGACTTTGTCATAGATGAAACTATTACAGCAAGTGGTCTAGTGCTTCCAGTCTGGAGAGGCATCCAAGATGGGCCTTTTATTAAATACTGCCTTAGAGTAAATAGTCTTTCTTAACTGGCCATATTGTAAGATTTGGGCTTTATCTCCCACAAACCTCAGAATGAAGAGAAAATGAAATGTTCCAGCGGCTCTTTCCACCAAGAGCATAGGATGTCTTGGCACTTCTTTGTATGACCTTTAAGTAACTTGCTTGGTCCCCATGAGACGTTTGTTTTATCTTTCCGGTCCTGCCTTCCAACATAACGTAGCAAAAACCGAGATTTAGGAATAAAAAAGCTCTGGACACGAGTCCTGTTTGTTAAACTGAGGAATGTAGGTTTAGAACTCTTGGGTGGTTCTGGTTAGAAGGAAGTTTCTTTAGTTCATTTAACACTGCCATGAATGTCAGCACACGCAGTCACCAAATCACAGTTAGCTCAGAATCTACAAACTGAGTTCTCCGTAACAGGAGCACTGAGAGCTAGAAGGTTTAAAATAGATGTCATATGATACCAATTATAACTCAGTGAAATTTTGCAGTCCCAAGAAACTATACAGAGTATAAGCCAAAATGGAAGACGGTCCTGTTTCCTATGGCTTTAAAAACATTTTTATTTCAATGTTTGCTACTTTTTTTTTCTTCAAGCTTTTAATTAAAGTTTTCTTGGCGCTCCTAACCCATTTCTATATCGTCAAAGGAAATAGAAAAGAAGCGGCTAGGATAGCAGAAGAGATCTATGGTGAAATTTCAGGTAAAAATATGTGAATTTTTCCCCAATACTTTAAAGGAAATCTCCTAGATAATTCATGTGAGTAGTATTTCTAGAAGGCAGATTTTATTTATACTTTGGCTTTGAGTGGGTAGTTTTAAAAAATCATTATTTAAAGTAGCAAATGGTGTTGACTGCACCAATTTGTGAAGCCTTTTTAGCTTTTTTTCCTGCAAGTTAGTAGTTCCATTAGTTTTTTTTAAAGAAGTAAATAGGGTGGTGGCTTCCTAAGAGGATTTTGAGAAACCTCATTTCTACTAACAAAAGAAAGACTTTATAGGATTATCTTCTTTAATATTTTTAATGAAATGTTAACAATGCATTCTAACAAAACTGCTTCCCCAGGAAATGGAATGACCAATACATTTGACTTAAAGCAGCAATATATATGCTCTATATGTATTTCTGTGCTGTCATTTGCAATTCAAATTGCTTAGCCACTTGTCACTGTCAGGAAAAAAACCCTCCACTGAATCCATTTATATGCAGCATTAGGTAAAGCACTGCAAACGAAGGTTATTATAATATGAAATGCCAACCTTTGGGTAAAACATTTTAAAGTCTCTGCTTTGTAGAATTTAGTCTCCATTTCTTTCCAAAAATGATTCACCTTAATTGTAGGGAGATGATACAAAAATAAATGAATCCAATACCGTCATTATTGGGGACTGCCACTCGAGACAGGAGTATTTGTTCGTAAACAGAGTTCCGAATTTCCCTATGTATTTTTAGTGTTCGTAGAGGTTCCAGGATTACCTCATTCTTTATCTAGTATCCATTTCGCCTTGCATCCCGGATTCTCTTTCAAAATAGACATATGTTGTGTGATTCCAATACACTAGACAACTTTAAAGACACTAGACAACAGCAGTCTTATCCCAAGAACTAAGCCCTGCAAAGACAAAACAGCAGAATGCTTCAATTAACGGGGGAAAATGAGAAGAATCTCCAAGTTTCAGGAAGTGGCAGAAGGCCCGGAGTGTGGAAAGAGATTTCTTTTGGGGATTATATTTGTCACACATTTCAGGGAGGTATGTTGCTTAGACTTGATTTTACAAAAGTAAAAGTAACTTTCATTTCAAGTTAAGCATAATCTGAAAAGCTATTTTCTAATTTAATCTGTAAATCTGGGCGAGGGCTTTCTCAAAGTTTCAGTAACAGTTTTGATGGTCTCATAGCTACCTCTTCATGGTTTAAATTAGGTAAAGGCCGATAAAGTCAGTATCAGCAAGATGTTAAAAATGTTTTCACCTAGGGTTCGTGGGCATTATTTCTGCCTTTGTGGTCCTTAGTGGAGCAAGTATTCTCTTAAGGAAGTTTTATAGTAGTCAAAACCTGGAGCCTTAATACAAATCTCTTAAATAGGGCTCACTCATTCTTTAGCTCAAATATCTTTACTTATTCAAGCGCCTAGGATAATAGTCATTTAATTTGCAAGTGGCATGGTGTTAGAAAGTCAAAAACGTATTTTTTGATGATCACTAGCAAGAGGCAGTGGGGAGAATAGTGCCTGTTAATTTCTCAGTTTAATTTCCTTCCTATATACATGTATATGTGTGTGTGGATGGGTGGGTGCGTATACATATACACACCACTCACTCACACGCGCACACATATGTAATAGTATATCCAGATGTGGTAAATAAGGCTTCCTATAGTAATGTTGGCAGTAACACGCCAGAAACAGTGATTTTTACATGATTTTAACAGCTTTTTTTTCTTTTGATGCTGTTTACAGTCAGGTACTCTATATATTTAAAGCTACATGTATTAAAGACCAAAATTTGCAGATGGTAACTACTATATATAAAATAAATAAGTTTCTCCTGTATAGCACAGGGAACTATATTCAATATCTTGTAGTAACCTATAATGAAAAAGAATAGGAAAATGAGTATATGTATGACTGAAGCATTATGCTGTACACCAGAAATTGACATTATAAACTGACTATACTTCAATTAAAATTAATTTTTTAAATAAAATTAAAAACATCAACAAAATTTTGTGCAAGTGTTCAACTCAAACCAGGAATCACCTTTGCTGCTCGCTGGTCAGACAAATACTTGCTGGAAAAGTATGTGACATTTAATCAGTAAGCCAGCTAACTGAGTTACAGAAGTCTCAGCCCAAGGTTACCTTTCTTGATTCCAGTAGCATATCATGTCCCTGTAAACTGTCGTCAGCGCTGTCAAAAACAAGGAGAGGCAGTAAAAAGCTCAGCCAGGGCTGAGTTTAGCCTGTCTAGGTCCTGGCACTTTTCTTTTGGAAGCTGTACTTAATATCACATCCTTCATTAAATACCATTTTTCTGGCTGGAAAGTTTTTTCCATATTCTGGAATGCATCATTCAATATTTTCTTTGTGGTTTAAACTATTACATTTGTAAATAACTCATCAGAATTGAGTTAAGCTATGGTTGGTGGGCTGTTACTGGTTTTTTTCAGGCTGCTTGTGTAATTTGTCAATTATATATATTTATGGTTTTATTTTATTTTTTAAATTGACATGTAGTCGATTTACAATGTTATCACTTATATGTGGAATCTAAAAAAATGACATAAATGAACTTATTTGCAAAACAGAAACAGACTCACAGACATAGAAACTAAACTTATGGTTCCTGGCAGGGAAAGGCAGGGAAATAAATTGGGAGTTTGGGACTTGCAGATACTAACTACTATATATAAAACAGATAAACAACAAGGTCCTACTGTATAACACAGAGAACTATGTTCAATAGCTTGTAATAACCTATAAGGAAAAAATATGAAAAGGAATGTGTATATATATATATATATATGTATAACTGAATCACTATGCTGTATATATATTTTTCAGTTTGAAATGTTGTCTTGGCCCTTGGTATTTTTATATCCACGTGGGTAACCGGCTCCCACCTTCAGCCCGTAGATATTTCTGCAGGCACGATCTCCCTCCTGAGAGATGGTGTATGACTTTTCAACCTTTGCTAATTTGGCCAGAATTGAAGCTATATTTAGTACAGTGACTTGTTCATCAAACTCGGTAAAAATAAAGGGTAGCTACAGGTTGGTAATCTGTTATTCCCAACCCTTGGGCCAGACATGTTTCAGGATTCAGGAGTTTGGGGGATACTCGGAAGATTACACAGTGCGTACACTGTATATCACACAACACTCCCAGGAGGGCCTGGCGCTGTCTCCCATAATAAAAAGTTTTGATAGTTCTCGAGTGAAAATACAAATATTCACACTAAGTGAAAATTCAAATTAAAAATAATAAATTGCTTCACCTGAGTTCTGACCATGTTTTGCTGCCGAAGGAGCTTGGCATCAAACTTGGGGAAAAACTTGGTTTTTGGAATTTGGAGGGATTTTACAAGTGCAGATAAGAGATTGTGGAACTTCTGTGCCCTTTAAAAGAATTAGTTCTAAGTGTTATGCCTAAAATCCGTTGTCCTTGTTTTTTTAAATTCAAAGGACTACCCTTGATTTTTAAAAAAATATATATTTTAATGGAGGTACTAGCAATTGAACCCAGGACTTCATGCATGCCAAGCATGTGCTCTACCACTGAGTTAGACCCTCCCCCCTAGACTGCCCTTGATTTGTGTGTGTGTATATATATATATATATATATTTTATTGACATATAGGCAGTTTACAATGTTGTGTCAATTTCTGGTATACAGCATAATGCTTCAGTCATACATGAAGATACATATATCCATTTTCATGTTCTTTTTCACTATACTTACTATAGGATATTGAATATAGTTCCCTGAGCTATACAGTATAAACTTGTTGTTTATCTATTTTATATATATTAGCTGGTATCTGCAAATCTCAAACTCCTAATTTATCCCTTCTTACCCCCTTCCCCCACTGGTAACCATAAGTTTGTTTTCTGTGTCTGTGAGTCTGTTTTTGTTTTGTAAATAAGTTCATTCGGTATTTTTCTTTCTCTTTCTGGCTTACTTCACTTAGAATGACAATCTCCAGGTCTATCCATGTTGCTGCAAATGGCATTATTTTATTCTTTTTTATGGCTGAGTAGTATTCCATTGTATAAATATACCACAGCTTCTTTGTCCAGTTATCTGTTTATGGACATTTAGGTTGTTTCCATGTCTTGGCTATTGTAAATAGTGCTGCTATGAACATTGGGGTGCATGTATCTTTTTGAATTAAGGTTCCCTCTGGATATATGCCCAGGAGTGGGATTGCTGGATCATATGGTAAGTCTATTTTTAGTTTTTTGAGGAATCTCCATACTGTTTTCTATAATGGCTATATCAAACTACTTTCCCACCAGCTGTATTGGAGGGTTCCCTTTTCTCCACACCCTCCCCAGCATTTATCATTCATGAACTTTTGAATGATGGCCATTCTGACTGGTATGAGGTGATACCTCATTGTAGTTTTAATTTGCATTTCTCTGATAATTAGTGATACTGAGCATCTTTTGATGTGCCTATTAGCCATTTGTATGTCTTCATTGGAGAATTGGTTGTTTAGGTCTTCTGCCCATTTTTGGATTGGGTTGTTTGTTTTTTTCTTATTAAACTGTATGTACTGTTTATATATTCTGGAAATTAAGCCCTTGTCAGTCTCATCTTTTGCAAATATTTTCTCCCATTCTGTAGGTTTGTTTTTTTTTTTTGCTTATGGCTTCCTTTGCTATGCAAAAGCTCATAAGCTTAAGTAGGTCCCATTTGTTTATTTTTGCTTTTATTTCTATTGCCTGGGTAGACTGCCATAGGAGAACGTTGCTGAGATTTATGTCCAATAATGTTTTCCCTATGTTTTCTTCTAAGAGGTTTATAGTGTCTTATGTTTAAGTCTTTAAGCCATTTTGAGTTTATTTTTGTGTATAGTGTGAAGGAGTGTTCTAACTTCATTGATTTACATGCAGCTGTCCACTTTTCCCAACA